ACATACATACATGATAGATAGATAGATAGATAGATAGATAGATAGATAGATAGATAGATAGATAGATAGATATTCTATAACTCCATGACAATTGTCCATAAAATGACTGTTGCCCTGGACTTCAATCCCCAAGACCAACTCCTTCCATGCAACCACTTACCTCACAAATCATACATGGTTTTCTTGCTCAGAAATTTTATATTAGATTTTACTATTATAATCAAAATTCTTAATAAAAATTATATATACACAAGAAATTGATACAATTTTCAAACCACAAAGGCTGGGTTGATACAACATGCTAACCAAAATCTTGCAAATTGAGCTAAGATGCTAGATGAGCCCATTTTAATGATATGATGTGTGTGTCAGTATCTCCAGTGTGGCATGTTTTACTGCTTTTCCTTTTTACTGCTTTAATCCTTGCTAGCAAGCCTGAGTTGCTTGGCAGGCGTAATTTGAATAAATATAAATGGAAAATACTGATATAGCATATTTGGAACTGGACTGAGGTTTGTGATGGCTCCCTATATAGATTCCAGCAATAGCAAATAGAATTGGAATTGAGAGAGAAGCGTCTTTACATGAGAAGCACAATAGATGGTGCTTGCTTGGAATCACTTTGAAGTCAATTCAGTTCCTTATCTGAAATAGCCCAAGGCAGGCACTATAGTCCCTTTAAATTCTGTACAGTGTGATCTTACAATTTCAGAAGACATGACCCACAGAAGGATAACTCTATGTAGTAACATGTTCACCTGCATATTCCAGAGACCAACAAAGCATTCAACAGAACTGCCCTCCAGGTCACTGGGAAAATCCCCAGGTGCCTTTCAGAAACCCTCTGGATCCATCAAGCACCTCTGGTAGGACATGTAAATTTGCTCATTCTCCCTGCACAAGGTGATGGTTCTGGTCAACCCATAGTCATGAGGGCAAGGGACTGATGGAAATGTTCCCAAGTCCTGGCCCTGTATCTTATGATGCAATGTAAAGGCCAGATTAAATGGTGGCCAGCTGTGTGTGCTAGAGCTGAGATGAACTGGGACAATTCCTGAGCCACTTTTGACTCCAAGCGCAGGAAGTTAAAAATCACCCAGGACTAACCAGGGTGAATCCATAACCACCCTTGCAATGAGTTTGAGTGGCTCATGAGGGGACACTACTATGCAGCTATGAGGATGGTAAAGTAGCAGCCCCCCCCCCCCCCGCTTGTCTTTCTGGCCCAATCTCACAAATATATCTGGCCACCTGCAGAACAGCACTCCTCACACAGTTGTGTGCCAAGGTCTCCTGATATACAACTGCCACTCCATTTTTCCTGCCCTGGAGTCAAGACTGATGCAGCATACAAAACCAGGATGGATAAATCTCTGTGAGAGGTATTTCTCCACTCCTCATCCAGTCACGATTTGATGACACATGACAAGTCTGTCCTCTTGTCCACAATCATGTCGGGATTGGATTTATTACAGACAGACGTGGCATTCAAAAAGTTCAATATGAGTTGAGTTCAATATGTCCAGCAATTTGGTTACCTGGCGCAGGAGGTGAGACTGGGGAGCCTGATTGGAAATTTAGTGCCATCTCTCTTGTCCTGCAATGACTTACTCTTATCTCTTATTATACTCCTCCTCCCATCATGACCACTATCCCACCTCTCCATATTTGTCCCTCTAAGCTATTGATCTCCTCTTTCACAATCACCTAGGCCTGCACTGGATAATCATGCATTGACTTCAGACTTGCTATACCTGGCAGCTATGTTCAGATGCACCCAGGCTCCAAAGGAGGTGACTGGTGAATCATGCAGAGTACAACCTCAAGTTCTTTTTCTTTCAATATCAGTGTAAGTTCTTTAAATAAATCTTTTTCCAATCAACTCTTGGAACTGCTTTCTCTTTTCCCCTCTATTCTTGCTCCTTCCAAAATATATATATATATATATTTTTATCTGCGCTCAGTCGTTACCGACTCTACAGTGACTGCTTGGACGAGTCCTTGCAGT